GTTCTGCAGAGGGTGCATGGAAGAAGACATTGTTTAACAGCCAAACGTATGAGAGGATTGAGGTGCTTGGACATGGAGTGGTTTTGCTGTTTCATGCAGAAAATGCTGATGGGGACATTATGACCCAATTCACATAAAAAGGCACTTAGGGAAAAAAAAATGGATAAACTGCTTCTCCACTACTTCAAGTCGTCAAGTCAACACCAGATGTTTTTGCCTTGGTCAAATGCAAGTTACTGATCTCAGCCTTCCGGTAAATGGATTAAGTGTTATGGTCTGTGACACAAAGAAACTGAGACTAGAAAATCTCCTTTGGACTGAAATCTGCAGAATAGGAATTATTTAGCAACGTTATTGATCCAGTAAGTGTAAACAAAGACTAATACAAGCATGTTCTTGAGCAGCCACCAACTTAAGGATAAATTCATCATTTCCTGTTTGCTATTCAGACATTAGAAATAATAACAAGAAGGGGTGATGTTTTAGATGTGGGGTGCCTTACTTCTGGAGCTATCTCAGTGAATGCAGTGGGTAACAAAGGCAGATCGGGGCATTATGGGGATAGCCAGTTGTGCTGTGTCTCAGCTGGCTGCCACCATAGAGACACTTTTCAGAAGTAGACTGGTCTCCAGCAGAAACAATGTCTGATTGATATGTTCAAAAGTAAATACAAAGGGTTTTTCCTTTCACCATCAAATGCCTGCTGAACTGCTCAGTGCTCGGTTAGTCTGCTGCTACTTGTCTCTGGTTTTTTCCTTTTGGGGAAAATTTTGTGAAGGTTGGCTCGACTAGCAGCTGAAAAATGCCACAGTAGAGTGAGGAGCAAGTCAGCCTGATGCAGCTGCGCCTTACTTTATTGAAAATGTGGACTCCTGAAATTCCAAAGCATGGAAACAGAATGGGATTTCTGGTGTATTTAGAGCTGCTGTGTCTTGGGGGCTGTATCTATTCCCTCATCCCAAAGGTACATGTTTGAATAGTGCAATTCATCCTATGTAACTTTATACATACAAATCAAAAACATCCTCATGGTACGGAGGCATCTAGAGTCACATATATAGGTATTTGCAGATGAGATGAATCTTCCTGTATTCCATCAACTGTAGAGGGAGAGTGGCTGGCTAATACCTAGCTGTGTACAGTACAGGTTTCAAGGTTTTGTCTGATCATCTTCACCCTTCCTGTTGCCAGTGGTTAAGCAGCAATATGAGTTGAGCACTGAGGATTTTCTTGTTTTCACATGTACTTTCAGGCCACTAATGAAACTGCTGCCTATGAGTCATTGTAACCGTCATCTCACAGGTGGATTTCAGCAGTGCTTTTCTAACAAAGAAATTAACTGCTAAACGCTTGCAAATATGAAGCAACACTGTTCGTCTCTTGTAAGATTGGGATGATTATAAAGCACTTCAAAGGACATCTCAGGTGCCAGTTGGGAGTGTTAACATCACGTGTTGAAGCAGGGCAGATCTGAAAGACACCATGGATCAGAAGTGGGAGTATTTGCTGTAGCTTGACAGCTCTAGACTTAGTCTGGCATCCATGATGTGATGGTTGAGAATTGCATCCACTTTGCAAGTCTCAATTTTGTATTTGTGAAATAGGAAGCAGCCTTTTCCTTTCAGTTAAGTGCTTTGATTTTGTAAGTGAGAAATGTTAAACAAACAGATTGAAACCACTGCAGCCATGGCAATATTTTCTTTTAACTTCAGGGAGATTTGGCTTATGGCCTGTACCATATTGTATTGTACTGGCTCCATTAGAAAAAGCATAATGAATGAAAAGGTCACAGCTCCTTAATTTAAAACAGGTAAAAGGATAAAATGTGTGTGGTGGGGTTCCACTGTAACTGCCCCGAGCATTTGCCATTGAGTACCAATGGGAACTCTCCATCCAGGCAGCTCACTAATCTCCTTTTAATCTCATTGAGTTCTGAACATTTTCTGGAAAACATTTTTCAGAACTAATGTGCCTGGGCAGGGCGGGGAAATGTGAAACCACACAAAAATGTGCACAACAGGAAATAATGTTCGAAAGCTGTGAAAATCATTTATCCTTTTGAAGCGTAATGGGTTTTAATTTTCTCATGCCCTGATCTCCCTGGCAACAATTTAAAAGTACATAAGCATTCATGAATCAAAGCTCTTCACGTCTGCATTTTTAATTATGTGTCATTGGATTGAAACTTTCCCTTTGATCTTTGCATTTAAAGGGATTTACAATTTAATGATTACAATCCCCATCCCCGCAATGTCTGTGCTTGTTACTGAGCAATGTCACAAAGGGGTCACTGTTGGACAGGGGGAAGGCAGTTCTGTTCAGCATAAGTGTGTCTGAAACCTGCCTTATGCTCTGACTCATGGAGGAGATGCCTGTGTGATCATGGGGCTTCCCAGTGGTGGTGACTCTAGGCCTTTTGCTCTAGGCAAGACACTGAAAAACAAAGATAAAATAGAGAACAACAATAACCTGGTTTTCCATTAAGCAGACCTGTGCTTTAGGCAGCTGTGTCTCTTGCCCTGTGTAATGACTTTAAAGCCACATAGTGTGGGCGCCATGACAAATGGAGGTGGGAATACTGCTAGCTACCTGCTGTGAGGGCCATCAGAAGCAGTTGATGGCTTTGAGGTGAATGGAACACTTTGTTCCTGCCAGCAGAAATAGTGCTAACAGAAGAACTTGAACACTTTGATTCAAGCTGGGGAAAGCACACACCTAGTTCAGTGTGCCTGATCAGGAGAAGGAGATTCAAGGAGGCTGTTCTCAGCAGGGCAAAAGGAAAGTCTTGTGGTTAAAGCACAAGTTGAGAGTAGGGGTGTCAGACTGCCTTGGGGAGAAGGGGGCTGCTGATAGGAAGATTATGATGGGAGTCTGGAGTGGGGAACAAGTGAGGAGGCCTGGGGAGGGTGACAGTTGTGATGAGTTTTCTGTGTAATACAGGGCTGCAGAGCACCAAGGAGATACTGTAGCTGTGAATGCCCCATAGGTGGGTGACCTTGCTGTTGTCTGACTTCTCCGTTCTCATGAGACTCATAAATACCCAACTACATCCTCAGTGTATATGGCAGGGTAACCTCTTTGCCACCAATGAGACTTGTCCTGCTCACCACTGGTGTTAAGAGATATCAGCAGCTTCCCATTAAATGTGTGTGTGACTTGATGCAATGCGCAGCACATCCAGGGTACTCTCTAATGAATCCTTCTTTCAGAGCTTTTTGCTAGATGTTTAATTTTCATGTTGAATAACAGTTTAAAGGTCATGTGGGTTGGTAGCATGTGCAAAATGAATGAATGTTACTTCTGATGTGCCAGTGCAAAATGAAGGCCTTGTACAGACTTCTTTAGATGCACACTGCTCTTGTATTTTCTTGTAAAAAAAAAAAAATCAATAAAAAGTATTAAACTAAAAACCCTGAATAGAATATTTTATGTCTTATTAAGCTACTTACGGGTTCAGCTGGGATAGCAAGGGTCCTATTAATCAATGCTTTAAGTTGACTCCATGGTGAGTTGATGAGTTGAAAAATTTGTTAAGATCCCTTTTTTCCTTCTCTTTAGAGGGTCTTAATGTGGTAGATCTTGTGAAGCGAGCATACGTTTGTGCCATTAGCGATAAGTTAACATTGCATGATTTAACATTAGAAACATCATTTATTGAGCTTATGCTTAAAAGGAAATACCAGGTGCGTTCACTGCAATGTGCTCTTTGATGATCCAATTTTACAATCATTTTCTGAGATTAAGAAATTCATGGTTCCAACTATTGACAGCTGCTGTTAAGTTACTCCAGATGGGGTTACACTAGAGGTAGACTACTCATCCGCGTAAAGGCTACAGGAGAAGATCCTAACAACTTGAATTGTGTTACTTGGGAAAAAGTCATGCTTTTTAGAGCAGAGGTACCATCTGTAGTCTAGAGAAGTGCTGTAGATCAAGGATAACCATGAAGCAAACTTTGGGGATTGGTAGTGATAGGAAGCAGGTGAGAACAGGGGAGGCAGAGAACTTGCAGGAAAGGAGAGAACTTAGGGCAGTCTTGCTTGCTTTGCGTGCTGTTTCAGGTTGCTTTTTTTTTTGACTGAATGAAGATACTCAGAAGGTAAGAGAGTAGCAGGAGCAGCGGTTGAGTTTTTGAAGCAGCAGCAATCTATAGACTGTTTCTGCCCATAACATAATTAGTGCCACAGTATAATTAGAGAAGAAAGAACAAAAGGAAGTGAAGTATCTCTGAGGGCTTCAGTTTAATTTGCAAAGAAATCTGGGTGAGCATCTAAATATAAATGTACTCTTAAAACAGTATAGGTTGATAACCAGATTTTAAAGAGCACATATCATCAGTGCGTAAGGGTAGAAACACCAGTTCTATACATCCATACCTTTAAAAAATATTTTCTTTAGATTGATTTTTATTGAAATACCTTTTATTTAAATACTCCTATTCAACTGTAACTCAGTTCTGTATCCTGAATAGGGAACTGGATGTTAGTTAAGCAGTAGCTGGGTAAGATTAGTCATTTGCAGTTCAGCTCCTCCTCCAAGCCCTGTCCCCTGCAGTAGCTGGTACATGGTGGTGATTGTGCAGTGCAGGAATCTCCTTCCATCACTTGTGTGTTTGTATTCCTGGGCACAGCTGCTAGCAGAAAAGGTGGATCTTGTTTTGAGGCTGGAAGAGGTGCTTCAGAGCTGACTGATTTGCTCACTTGCTGCACTGTGTGCAGTCTGTCACTCCAGTTGTCTTCTGTGGCACATAGGAAATAAGTTGTTTGGAAAACTTCACTAAATCTGGTCCTAAAGGCAGGACTGTCTTTGTTGGCAGTGTCAGTAGATGGATTAAGAAAGCAATGAACTTGGTTCCCTCATTTTCCTTTTGCCTACAGAAGTGTTTTTTAGCATAGCTGGTACAATGTGCCATCAACAACCTGTTGTAAACAGGTTTCTGACACTGTCTTCTCTGAGTTGCTTTGTCCTTTGGTATATTAATATGGTATCTTCTTCTCCAGGTTGAACACATAAAACACACCATGAGAAAGCTCGAAGCTGACATACGGAAGGCTTGGAGCATCTTGCATCTCTGACTGTGCTGAACTTCCTCCTGGCAGGATTCCTCTGAAACTCTTGGGAACTCCAGGTAAGCCATGATGGTGGCTCTGTAATACTTTTCTTTCCCACCTCTGCCTTATGAGCTTCCCTGTTTACTGCCTTCTGCTCGTCTTAGCCTTCTGTTGTATTTTTTACGTTAAGTTATGGACTGTAGGGGACATTCAGTACCTCATTTTCTGCACAGCTCCTATGAGAAAGATCCTCCATTCTTGACAGGAATACGAAGAATGCCTACAGCTGGCTAAAACGAAATCAATTCTAATAAAAAATAATAAAGAAAGAATGCACGTGCTGGAAATCAATCATATAAAATAGCAGTTAAAAAATAATTAGCACTTTTTGGGAAGGCATTAAATGGATGTGCAGTTACTGCAAAATTAAAAAACCATTAGATTAATTGCAAGAAAAACTGCTTAGCTCAGGGCTATGGTAGTTGTGGCTGGGGTGATGGCACATCAGAGCATCAGCCATCAACTTTAAACAAGGATTCAGGGTCCGCTATTAGCAAAGGTAACAAAAAAGCCCAGTGCTGCACTAGAGCCAGTGAAGCAACAAACCAAATGGGATTCAGGTGCAGAGTTGGATGCAGTCCTGAAGTGATGGTGAGAAAGCAGCACACCACCACAGGACACATGCTGAGAGAGTGAGTAACGCTTCCACCCTGAGTACAGTACATCTGAGTTTATGGGGCCATATTTTGTTTTTCTGCCTGGATTTGAAGGTTTAGAACAATTACTCAGGCTCCTGAATGTCAGTTTGGTGGAATACCTTGCGTTGCCAGATGTCTGGAAACCCCAGATGTGTTCCCTGAACGAATCAGCTCTACAGAACATGTGCAATGAATCCGTGGCTACCAAAGCCACACTGAACTCATTATGGCTGTGCTGTATAATGCCGGTCACACAGACCTGGTTGGGAAGTCCTGATTACAAAAATAGCGTCTCTCTGCTCCCTTCTCTTTCCTTGTAAACGTGTGACAAGCAGATAGCTCTGCTGCTGGTGGCTTTAGTGGGCTTGATGGAGGGTTATAGTCATCTGAAGATACACGTTTCTGAACGAGTGTAGTAGCATCACTGGAGCCCTCTGTGGAGAGTGCTCAGATCTCATCTTATCTAAGGTTTTCACTAGTGGAAGTCAAACATCAGGCTCCAGCCCTGGGTGATGACTTAGATTGATGAAAGAAAATTAAAACTTTTAACTCCCTGCCCTAGAGGGAGAACATAATGATCCAGTCCAATCCCACTCACCTCTTTGAAATTATTGTTATCTTTTTAAAGGAAGTCAATGATTCATGAGATGTTTAGTGGGCAAAACCCTCTCAAGCACTGGGCTGGCTGGGTTATAAATGATCGGTACACAAGCAGGTATTTTTCTGGCAATTCATATGCTGTCTACCTATGACTAGGGCTTCTTTTTGCAAGCTGCAGAGCATAAAGACATAAAAATGATTTGCTGTGCTTGGGTATAGCTTAGGCAATGGTAATTACTGCAGGGAAAGGTACTCCACTTTATCAGTGGGCTGATGCACAGTTCATTTGAGGTTTCCTCCTTTGCTCCAGTATGTATGAAGGAGGGAAAACAGAGGAAATAAAACTGGCCATGAGGAAAAACGCAGAAACTCATTACTGAAAATGCTGTGCACTGTGAGTTGCACAAATACAGAAAGACAGAGGGGAGAAAACCCCAGTACAACAGAATACAGAAAGGACAATGGTAAATGATCCATTCCTGGCAGCATTCAAGGCCAGGTTGGACGGAGCCTTGGGTGACATGGTCTAGAGTGGCGAGTCCCTGCCCATGCCCATACCATTTTATGATTCTATCCCTGTCTCTGACCTGGAAATGCTTTATTAAGAACAGAAAACAAGGAGCAGCAGGATAACGGAGAGGCAGGCACTGCAAAAAAAACAATGCAACATTATAATCAGTATTACAGGTTTATTTAGTTACAAGTAGCTTTGAGATACAAACCAATTCACTCTAGAACAAGTAAAAAAGCAATGTGCAAAGTGAAAGCACCTTTCCAGGAGGAACAGAAGGTGGGATAATGTTTAGTTTTAAGGGTGACTTGGTGGGTTTAGTTTTGTGTTCTGGTAGGTAATTGGGATTGCAGCATGACCTTAGGCTTTTAACGTGCATCGTGTGAAGAAGGTTTTCTCCTAAGGGTGAAAAAGGGGGAGACTCAGAAGGCTGTTGGATTTTTCTGCTGGTCAGTAAATCTGGATCTTCAAAATAAGAAGCCCTTGTGAGAATCGTACCTGTGCAGGAGTTTGATCAACATCCTAGTACAGCACTTTTCAAAGCTTTTTGGTTGCTTGAATGAAAGTGGTGAGTCCTGTTCATGTGCTTCTTCTGAGTAGGTCAGTCCAGTGTATCTTTGCTAAATGCTACATGCCTACTAAATGGAAGTATCAAATGGTATAAAATAAATATGTGCATTATGTTTCTTAACCTTATAAAGCTGAGGGACAAGATTCCACAAATCCTAAATCCATTTGTTTTCTTTTGTGGTTATCCAACTGAAATTTAACCAAAATGTAGCTGGAAGCTGTGAAGGTTCACACAGCACCATGATAGTAATGTGAAGTATTGTCAGAGGATATGAAAGAGACTAAGGAAGGTGGAGAGAAGTATATTTTATTAGACACATTTTTCAAGCTCCAAGATGGGCATTTCTGGCAGCAGTTTGGTTTGTGTGTCACGCCAGTACAATCAATGGTGGATGTGTTCATGCAGAGGGTAGGAAAGCAACTTCCCTTCTCTTCCTTTTTCTCTGTGGAATACCTGAAGTAGCCAAAATGAACTGTGGTGTGGGTCAGGATTTGGCTTTTCAGGCATCATCAAATTAAGGATGCTTGGGTGTAGACTGCACTGTACCTGACACCTTCTGTGTGCTCAGTGTGCAGCTGCAATGCACAGAAAATACCCTGATCCATGTTGTGTTGAACGACAGGTCGAACTCAAGCTGAGGTGGCTTTGTTGGGAGTTTGCTTCTCTATGCAAAACCACAACAGGATTATGCCTCATCACAGGGGTATTCAAGCTACAGAAATGTGATTGTCTCCTTCTCTGGGCATATAACTCTACAAACAGGTGTGTGCACTACACCAAGTGTGAAAATGAGAGATCCCTCTGAGCTTTCTGGGAGATGGTACAGTGTTCCAGCAATGTGCTGTGAACCAGGAAGGTTCAGTTCACAGCACCCACAGGGGAAATTGTGTGGAAATCTAGGAATTCTTCTGCCCTTTGTTTTTCCCTTTGAAAATTTCTTCCTGTTCGGCCTTAACACAAGTTGAAGGTATCTAACCACAGGTATTCTGGCTTGGGATTATTTGCCTGCATACCATAAATGCTAAGCAGCAGATATCCATAATGCAGCACAACATATATAATACTGGACTTGTAAAAACATTCAGGGTTTTGGTTGTAAAACTATATGTAATTTTCGTTTTCCTGACTCCCCTGTTCCTGAGGTCTGCTTGCAGGGAGACAGGACTAGCACCTCATCAGTGATTCATTTCCTAATGAAATAGAAACTAGCATCAGGAAAGGAGGGAAAAAAAGGCAAGATAAATGGTTGCCTTTCTGCCAAGCATGCAGTGAAACAATGGGTTTAAATGAGATACATTCCTGACAAAGATCTCTTCTGTTCTCTAAAGGCTTTCATTGTACCTAGAGTTATATTTTATCTTTAAAAAGTGCTGTTCTTTATTTTATGTGAGCTCTCTCCCCCTCGCCCTCTTTTTGTCTTGCTGAGATTTAAGTAAGCTCTTGTAGTGCCTGTATCTCTGATCAGGCTTAAAGATTTGGAAAGCCAAGTTCGAAAGGATAAAAAAAGCCTTAGTATCTAGACACTGATAGATCTGATTCATCACCTCAGGAGGACATTACCACACAGCCTGTGCCACAGATTGTCTTGATAACAAGCCCTGGATTTTTCTTGGCATGCATCTTCATTTAAAGGTCAAAGAAAGAGGAATTTCTGGGTTATGAAAAATAACAAAAAAAAAAAAGGGGTCACATTATCTTGACAAAGCCATAGTCTTCACTGAGGCCAGAGGATTTACAGTAGGAACAGGGGGCTTGATTCGAGCTGAATAAAAGATGCTTTAGAGCTGTTCTGAGCTCTGCAGAGAAAACAGAGCCACAACATGACAGTCCAGCCTGGGTTGGGTTGAGTGTCCTGGAGCAGGGCTCCACTCCTGCTCCTTCCCCACTTGGGAGCAAACAAATGACAAGAGGGTTGTATCATCCCCAGTCCCTGCAAGACCCTGACCTTGTGGATGAGGAGAGAAAGACAGCCCAATTCAGTGGAGCCCAAGCTCTGCTCTGTGATACGTAGCAAAAATGAACACCTCCAGCTTTAGACTGAAATGCCTTAGTCTTATATTTCTAGTTTTCCTTTCCTTCATATCCAAGCAATAATCTACTGCCTAAGATGTGCTAAACTTCATCTGCTCTCAGTCAGGATGCCTCCCTGGATAGCAATTAAGCAGTGATGGCTACCACTTAATGGGGATGGTAATTCTCACTTAATTGGGGTGTTTTCCAGTGTCTCAGACTCGGGGGGGGGGGGGGGGGGGGCGGCATTGTCTCTTTGGCTTTGTGTGACCTTTTAGAAGGGAGACACCCAAAGAGTGGTTTACCTTCACCTTCTCCTGTCTGCTCACTTGACCTTTCTCTACCAGGCAAGGTCAATAAGTACTGACTGTTTTACAAATTCCAGTGGTCAGCTAATAGCGTAGCAATGCCTTGCTCTCTTCAGGAATTTGTCAGCCCCAGCATGAGCCATGGTGGCTTTCCTTTGCCCCCACATTTTGGCATTAAATTCACTAAGAACAGCAAAACAAGGCCTATCTTAGGAACTGGAACCACTGATGGCACTGTGCAGCAGAATTTAACTTCACTATCCAGCAGCATCAGTGAGAGGGACCCCAGCCCCAGGAGAATGGGATTAGGAGTAGGTCTACTTCTTCAGGCTGCCCTGTAATGTGCTCTCTGACACGAGCCTAATGTTTTTATCACTCT